CTTGGCTTTCTCCCATTTATGCAGTATACCTGTATTTGATTTGAACTCAACGTGTTTTACCTAATCGCTATTTAGCTTTACCCTGTAATGTTTTGACATCGTCTCCATGTAAACATTGTCCTGCAACGTCTGTCGTTTATAGCCTTTTATGTCTAGATCCGTCAGCTTAATGTGGGAGAAAACCCGAAGCTGTCGTAGAGATTAGGGACTGTGAAAATGCTGTTAAGCAGTTGCGTTGATGCTGTGTTACCTTGCTTCTCGTCAGTTGTTATCACAGGTGAGCTGACGGTCAAATGCTTAACAAGGTGCACCTGATTAGAGCATTTACTGCAAACGCCACCATATGGAGTCTTTTCGCGAATACACGCTTCTGTAACTGGTTTATTGAACTACATTTGAATGGTTCATGTTATATAAAGGACTGAAGGAATTCATTAACCGTAGTATAAGAAGCCAGGCATTTCATACGAAGATGAAGGATTCTGAAATTAAATCACGTTTTCGCGAACATCTAGTATCATGACTATTTGACGGACAATAACAAACACATGCTCAAAATCCACAGTCAGCAGCTATTACCAAATATGTTTTATACACATGAAAAGGGTTTTGTTTAGAATTTGGATGATGCAGGGAATGAAGCTATACTGTACTGACAGACAAACATACTTCCCACTTTTAAGCACACGAACTAAATGGCACGTTTATCTTTTGAAGAAAGATGAAGCCATTGGTATTTCGAGAATGGGAACTACTCATATCAAAACCAATAAACAGGCATTATATATCATAACAATAATGAGTCGGAAGGGATGTGTTTTTAGCTGGAAAAGCAAGAGCGTTTATATATATCCGAAAAAAGGTACTTTGGAATTATTATAACTTATTCATCAACTTAAACCGCTTGAGAGTGAAATAGCCAGTGTTTCAATCTCTTTCTATCAGAAAATTCCATGTTGGCTTTTAAACTAAACTAATGTAAACGAAAATGCCAATCTGGCCATTAAAATATCATAGTTCTCAGTAAAAGCTCTTTTACCAATACCATTAAGGGCAATAAAGAGGCATTTCAAGAAACTCATCTCTTGGGACTGTTAAACAAGTTTCATATGATACTTAGTGTATACCAAACGTTGATCATTAAAGATGTGAGGTGAGGTGAACTGGGGTTTAACGTCACAATTAAGATTATTTCGCTCATATGATGATATGCATGAGTGTGTATGTGGGTGCTTGCAGACGTAAGCTGGTTTTATAGTGCTAAGTCACTGAGATACCATACCGCAGTTAAGCATGAATACCCCACTCAGACACATTATACTTACACCGAGCCGACCAGTCTTTGTTGTACCCATTAATGCCATTACTCTCTCTCTCTCTCTCTCTCTCTCTCTCTCTCTCTCTCTCTCTCTCTCTCTCTCTCTCTCTCTCTCTCTCTCTCTCTCTCTCTCTCTCTCTCTCTCTCTCTCTCTCTCTCTCTCTCTCTCTCTCTCTCTCTCTCTCTCTCTCTGGTGTTCCAGAGCGTCAGGTTAAACAGCACTTAATATATACTTTCATGTTAGAAATCGACATGACATATTTACCGAGAATTCTGCCTTATTGATTAATCACTTCAGATCATGCATTTTATCACATGTCCATTAAAGGGTTTGTTTTGTATGGTGCTCCGTCACGTTGATTGTCATATTGGCTCGTCCCACCTATTTCCATTTTATACCGTTTGTGGAAGAAGTGTACATTCAGTGTTGAGTGGTGTGTCGACAGTATTACTTCAAATACTGAAAACAGAACCATCATGGTCTAACTGTATCCAGTGTCCAGTCTGTGCAAGATGTTTAAGGTTTCCCCAGATACCGTTGGTTCGTCCAGTCAAACAGATGATGTACAGGACACAATGACAAGTATCCAGAGACTGGTAGCATTGTCCGGGTTATCGTGGGACTATCAGCAGCCGAAGTCAGCCAAATGGTGCAACGTCTGGGTGGTAGTTTCAAGGATATATTCAAGTTTGGTTTTCATTTTCATTATTCTGTCTATTATTCAAACGATACCATACTTTTCAAAAGCTGAATCGTTCACAGAGAAAAGTCTTCCCTCAGCAAGTACCATCTCAACTTTGTTAAGCCTAACCTACTGGGTTCTGAGTACCAACATCCACAGCAAGGTTCGTATATTCCACGAACGTCTTCGCGAAACACAGTTGAAGTTTAACAGTTGTGCTTCAGCCACTGAAATGAGACAGAGAGTGAAGAGGGCCTGTATATGTCTTCTGGTCGTCGCGGCAAGTTACTGTGGTTCCACTGGCTTAATGACTGGCTTTGTGAGTGACGCATCCAGTGACTGGTATTGGCCTTCACTTGTATTATCGACGGTAATTGCTGGCTGTAACTGTCTGCTACACCATTCGTTACTGCTTCTGTTCTTGTCCATCTCCCTCCTTCTTACTTATGAGTATGATAATTGCACGCGGAGACTGGCAAGGACTTCTGAAGGGTCCGTGAAAGAAGAGGAGATTGAGGACATTCGAGGTTACCATGCATCCTTAACAGACCTGGTGGAACATGTGTGTTCCCTCATGTCCAGACACGTCGCTGCTGCCTACATCAGCTCCTTCCTCATTGTGTGTTTCTGCCTATACAGCAGCATCAACGACGAGAAATCCATTGCCAACATTGGTTATGCTGCAGCTGTTCTGTATGTGTCTATATTGTATCTCATCGCCCTCACCTATATTGGAGTCAGACTGCACGAAGCGGTAAGTGTTAAAATTCATTTTTGCCAAACATTTCAAAAATGATGCGGATGATTGAATATGATTGTACTTTAATGTACAATTCAGGTTAAGAATGTTCCCATGTAGGTAGATAAATTATCTATTCATATTTAAATGACGAACACAATAAAAGCTTTTTTCGTGATAAATAACAACAACTGAATGGAATAATACGACTTATGCAGCTACTAATAGGGTTGAATATTGCTATGTTTCCACTTGTATTAACCTTCCAATTGTTACAATGGAGGGGGTGTAGGTTGGAATGGAAGAACGTTCGACCACTGAGCTACCTTGGAAAAGCAACCGTTTTATATCACGGATGTTTATTCCTACAATGTTTGTTTACAGGCACACCGACCTCTGAATCTTCTCCTAGACATGACTGGGGGAAATATGCCTGATAGAGTTACTGGACTGGTAAGTAAACATTACATCAAATTCAGAGACACTTCAGTATCTAGAAACTACATTTAACTGTGGGAACCGTTTTGTTAGAAACTGCGGAACGACCATTGATTTTGGTATATAAAAAATGATTTATGTTATTTATAAGTTATGGATATTACGTACTTATGATACCTTTTCGTGTATGTTCATTGTAATTCATGTGCCCAAATTGGCTGAATAGGACGATTACTATAGTCAGTCATGCCTACCAAGTAAAGCCAGCTTCCACATTCGCTATACCTTCCCTATACACCTGCTTCGGCAACACACACTGTCAGCTGTATTTCTAATTAACTCACACTTTGCATCCTGTATTATTCTGGTCAACTAGAATCTCTTGTCGTGGTTGAAATTGACATTAATTCACATATAAAGTGAAGATTTGGTAATTTTACATGTTATGTTTACGTTGTGTTTTGTCTCTATCATGTTTTTCTTACGATACGTACACCCAGCTGCAGGTCACACTGTTCGCCAACAAGTTGTCTCAACGTCAGATCGGAATCAGTGCTTTGGGACTAATGACCATCACGAAGGACACTATCCTAACGGTATGCTGAATACGTATAGTTCGACCGATATTGGACCACAACGGAATTTTCCGGATTAAAAGATGAAATAGAATTCTATTCTCCACAATAGCCATTGTACCTCAAGATCAGGTTAAGAACAGGTCTCCAACAAACCCTGCTTTTTCTAAGAAAGCAATATACAGGATCGAATTTGGTTTGTAGATGTTTTTTATGAGTTAATTCACAAACTGAAACTTATGCAGTAGTTTACCGGAAATCAGTTTGTGACAGAATCCGGTTTAACCAAACAATCAACAATGAGATGATATATAATTAACCATTGTATTCTAAAATTAACTAAGTAACAAATTACTATCACGGTGTAACAGTGGCAGTATCAAGTAGTGTGGGAGTATAAAGTGAGAAGATAGCCAAGCAAGAAAACAACACCCTGTAGTACCTTCCAGAGCTAAGTATCTAAGTATATCACCAGTCTAAATATAGCCTGCCACTGCTTCTCACTGACTATTTTTGCATCTCAGTTGCGAGATCGATGTTCATGATGTAAATCATTGGATTGTATTGGATTGACTCCATGATGTACAATTCCCTTCCAAAAGTTTAAACATTGTTGCGTGCGGCTTTAAAGTAAAAAGAAATCAATAACTTTCCTTCTTTGTTCACACAGATCATCGGTACCCTCCTGACCTATGTTTTCATCGTGATCCAGTTTAAACCGGACGCGACCGGTGGAATTCGACACAATGTAAACACTACGACAGAATAACCTGACCAACTCGTATTTGACTTCAAATTTTTGCATTAATGGTTATTATATTTAAGTTTGTAATGTGTTGATTCTGTTGCTCAGTACGTCTGTAAAGCTGTTGGTTTGAAGAAAACACAAAAAGTACAAGGTTTCCTGCTACGTTTTAACAATGGATATGACACAACACAGAAATCATCTGATGGGCTCAAAATGATACGTATTACAAGCATGGAGCTAGAGAGGGTATCTGGCAACGTGGTGTATATGTGATGAGACAAAAAGATGTATTTGTAAACTTGTAACATTGTAAATCAGTATCTAGTGTACCCTCCGAACTGCCCTACGTCGCATACCCCGCTAGTCGTCGGATCCGTTCTAGAGGAACCTGTCGTCATGTTTGTGCAAAGTTGCTCCCAACTCACTCATATATACTAATCACCCGTCAATTTCCCACTTGTATCAGTCGTCAAATAAAGCTCAGGTCTGGACTCAAGGCTGGCAATGGAAGGTGAGTCACTGCATTATTCTGAATGAAAGCTGTCACTGTTTGGCCTAGCGTTGTCATCCATAAATACAGATCTTGTAACAAGAGGATGATTATCAAAATGAAGGGTCCAGTGCAATCTGATCACCCGTCAAATTCCCCGTATTGTGACCAAATCAAGTTTACAGTCATAAGAGACACTTCCCCGCACCATGACTGAACCTGCAAAGGCAACAGTTGGTTGAATGGTAATGCTGTATTTCGTTGTCTCCAAACTGGCTTCACCTCATTGGTTTATCTGAATTTTCTGACCACTCGACTGATACCTGTGTAGTCGAAATTCATTGCTTTAAAGGACGTGCCGATAATTTGCCATCTCTGGGCATCTGATAATCTTGTACATCCCATAGTGACAGGCAACTTATTGAGCATTGTAACCCAAGCAGATTAGATTCCGACATGTGGCACGTGCACAAACCGCAATTGTGAAAATTCTTGGGTTAGCCTTTGGACACACAGTTTATGTTTGTGGAGACACATTCCTCCAAGCATACTAGCAATATAGATACACATTGAGATCATACGTATAACCTTACACAAGCTGAACCTTACACAAGTTGAACCTGAACATAGCACTGTTACCTGTCAACACATTCAGGGTTGCTTACCTGTATACCTGTGATGTACTGTATACTTCTGTGATATACTTCATGTGATATACTGTGTATCTGTGATACACTGTATACTTCATGCAATATACTGTGTACCTAATATGCACTGTATACTTCATGCGATATACTGTGTATCTGTGATGTAATGTATACTTCATGTGATATACTGTGTACCTGTGATGTACTGTATGCTTCATGCGATATACTGTGTACCTGTATATACTTCATGATGTACCTGTGATGTATGTATGCTTCATGTGATATACTGTGTACCTGTGATGTACTGTATACTTTCATGTGATATACTGTGTACCTGTGATGTAGTGTATACTTCATGCGATATACTGTGTACCTGTGATGTACTGTATACTTCCTGTGATGTACGTATATACTGTGTACCTGTGATGTACTGTATGCTTCATGCAATATACTGTGTACCTGTGATGTACTGTATGCTTCATGCGATATTTTAATATCGGTCTAATGTAGCCAATTAAGTCACAATGAGTTAAATTTTGTGTGGTAATACTTATAAACGTGCTTTCATTCATTTACAACCTCTAAACTTGAAAAAACATGTTTTGAGCAAAAGTAGAAAATCTCGCCCATGGGCCAAACTTTCTTTCGCCCATGGGCGAGATATTTTAATATCGCTTCTAAAGTAGCCGAATTAAGTCACAATGAGTTAAATTTTGTGTGGTAATACTTATAAAGATGCTTTCATTCATTTACAACCTTCAAACTTGAAAAAAAAACATGATTTTGAGCAAAAGTAGAAAGTCTCGCCCATGGGCCAAATGTTTTCTCGCCCATGGACGAGATATTTTAATATCGCTCTAAATTAGCCGAATTAAGTCACTATTGGTTAATTTTTGTGTCATTTACTTATAAACATGCTTTCATTCATTTACAACCTCCAAAACATGAAGTCTGAGCGAAATTAAACATTCTCGCCCATGGCAGCTGCATGATTTAATTTTGTCAGATCCTTTGTCAGAAAGTGGTCACAGGGCGGATAGTTTCTGGACTTTTGTGAGTCAGAATTAAATTGTGACGTGTTCTGTGTATCTGTGATGTACTGTTTGCTTCATGCAAATATACTGTGTATCTGTGATGTTCTTGTATACTTCATGAGATATACTGTGTACCTGTGATGTACTGTATACTTCAATGCGATATACTGTGTACCTGGCATATACTGTATACTTCATGCGATACACTGTGTACCTGTGATATACTGTATACTTCATGCGATATACTGTGTATCTGTGCATGTACTGTATACTTTATGCGATATACTGTGTATCTGTGATGTACTGTATATGTACTTATACATGCAATATACTGTGTATCTGTGATGTACTGTGTGTGCTTCATGCAATATACTGTGTACCGATGATGTACTGTATACTTCATGCAATATACTGCGTATCTGTGATTCACTGTATGCGTCATGCAATATAACGTGCACCTGTGATATAATGTATGATTCATGTGATATACTGTATTACCGTGATCTACTGTATGCTTCATCCGATATACTGTATACCTGAGATATACTGTATACTTCATGCAATATACTGTGTACCCGTGATATACTGTTTACTTCATGTGCTATACTGTGTACCTGTGATGTACTGTATGCTTCATGAGATATACTGTGTACCTGTGATGTAATGTATGCTTCATGAGATATACTTCATGCGATATACTGTGTACCTGTACCTGTGATATAATGTATGCTTCATGCGATATACTGTGTACCTGTGATATGTATACTGTATACTTCATATGCTTCATGATATACTGTGTACCTGTGATATATGCTGTATGCTTCCTGTGTGATATACTGTGTACCTGTGATATACTGTATGCTTCATGAGATATACTGTGTACCTAATGTGATGTATACTGATACTGTATGCTTCATGCTTCATGATATACTGTGTACCTGTGATATAATGTATGCTTCATGTGATATACTGTGTGCCTGTGATATAACCTGTGATATACTGTATGCTTCATGCGATATACTGTGTACCTGTGATATAATGTATGCTTCATGAGATATACTTCATGTGATATACTGTGTGATATAATGTGCTTCACCTGTGATATAATGTATGCTTCATGTGATATACTGTGCACCTGCAGTGTCCTGTACACTTCATGTGATATCTGTGCACCGGTGATATGATGTATGTTTAATGCGATAAACAGTGTACCTTTGATATACGTAAAACTTCATGCTATATTCTGTGTACCTGTTATATACTATATACTGCATGTAACATAGTGATTGCTGCCTGTGACATACTGGACAATGACAATATTCTATTATATATTATAACATGATACTCTATTTTGCTGAACACCATGTTGTGAATGTTAGCCCTGTCTGAGTAAAGCTCATGGATCTCTCCGTACACGTGACCTGTTGTCAATGATTCAAGCAACGCTCTGACGTCCACGTCGCGCACTTCAATGATGCGATAGACATCCATCCTTATAACATGCCTTGCAAATTACCAAGATTTACTGTATTTCAGATTACGACAGAAAGAAGTCATGTTATCCAACAACAATAGCCGTGCATCTGCCTCTTAGTAAACATTGACTCAGTGGTATGCACCGAATCTCATATTGCTGTGAACCCCCACCACCTCCACCCCCATCTGTTCAGTGCTTCATGACAATAGCCTTGATAAGCTAAATGGTATCCGCTTGTTTACACTAACGAACTTCATCACAAGAGCAAGTCGTTACGAACGATAGCAATTCACTGAATAATTAAATCATTCTGTAGCTGATGTGTCAGGGATATATGGTTCCCCCTACCAGGAATCAATCAGACATACACATTTTCAACCAGTTGACATGGATATTGTTTCTGAGCCCTAATTGTTTCAAGGTCTGAAGACCAGGACAAGAGCAGTATGCGTGGTTGAGTTACTGAACTATTGACAGACCAAAGCGGCATAACACACTACTGTCATAACTTAACTTTAACTCTGAAATTTCCTATCATACCCATATTTATCTTTCAATTTCGGTCTTTTCTTATACTGCGATACACTATAGCTTCCCAGCTTCCCAATTTGTATCACACAACTATAACTAGTAACAGTATTTCTTACCATTTTGTTGTTTTCGTCTCTTCTCTGCCTTTTTGACAATATCTATTGATCTTCATGTTTGTTGTCGCACTGTCAGAACAATTTCAATTGGGGATGATATTACTGGATATTAAAGCAAACACTGCATCTAGCGTATAAGAGGGCTAATTAGAACAAGTCAGGAAATGTTGGACAACAAACACTTATGCCATATAGATTGACTGATTGATTAATAGGTTCACGAACAGCTTATTCACAGCCAAGATAAGCAATCACTCTCAACACAAATATCAATTCATCTTCATTAAAACTATTATTTCAAATACTGGTGAGACTTAGCGGAGAACAGACCGAACTGAAGGTTTAGCCTACAAAGCAAAGACAAAGATTGTTGATTTCATAAGCTGTAGAAGATTATGAGGATTTTCAGAAATACCGTTGATACATCTGGTGAAACAGATGATGTACAGGACACACTGACATGTATCCAGAGACTGATAGCATTGTCCGGATTATCATGGGACTATCAGCAGCCGAAGTCCGAAAAATGCTGCAACGCTTGGACAGTAGCTTCACGGATATTTTCTGTTGTGGTGTGCATAGTTTACATTCTCCACTGTATCCAGATGATTCCGTCGTATATCGGAGCTAAATCTTTCATTGACGCAAGTTTTACCATCGTAAACCACATTGTGGCTCAGTTAACTTTAGCCTGTTGGGCTCTCAGTACCAATATGCACAGCAAGGTTCGCATATTCTATAAACGTCTTCAGGAAGTACGGTTGAAGATTAACAGTTGTCTATCAGCAACGAGACTGAGGCAGAGAGTGAAGTGGACATGTTTATGCATTAATTTCTTCGCGGCTTCTATTTGTGTTGGTACCGGATTAATTATGGCCATGATGAGTAATACATCCACTTATTTATTATGGCCTTCACTCGTCTCGTCTTCGATAAAGGGTGGTTTTATCACTCTGCTAAACCATTCGTTATTGCTTTTCTTCTTGTGCATCTCCCTTCTTCTTACTTATGAGTTTGACAATTGCACAATGAGACTGGCAAGGGAATCTTGATTACCATGCATCCTTAACAGACCTGGTGGAACATGTGTGTTCCCTCATGTCCAGACACGTCTGTACAACATCATCAACGAATACAAATCATTTATGAACCTGGTTGTCACCTTATTTGCTGCGCGCTCTTCCATTATGCATCTCATCGCTCTCACCTATACTGGTGTCAGACTGCATGAAGCGGTAAGGGTTAGAATGCTGTTGTGAAAGGTGGATAATGACATACATGAAGAAAATGACAGATTCTAAATAATGAATGCTCTGAATGATTACAAATTTCTGATTTATTAAGCTCCGACTACTCCGCACTAATGCACTAGTATTTCACATCAATGTGTTTGCCAAAGATTGCTAGTTAAAATCATCATTATAAACTAGGTTTTTCATCATTTATTTTGAAGTAAATAACTACAATCTTTGTATACAGGCACATCAACTTCTGATTATTCAGTTTGACTTGGCTGGGAGAAATATGCCAGATAGAGTAATTAGACTGGTAAGAAGAAAACTTATGACTGTTAACTGTTGACTGAATGACGACTCTTCTTGAGTGAATTTGATCTGTTCTTTCAATTATAAAGATGTTAGTTCTGCGTAATTTCTATAACCCAAATTTCTGAAGTGTCAATATTTATTGCAATTATATCAAAAGGAATGTAGAAAATATACCACGCTCGCCTACAGAGACTTCCATACACTAAGCTTCCACGCTAAATATGTCTGCGACAGACTTTCTCACTTTGCTGTAATCTGCTCTGATGTTAGAAGCTAAGGGTTGGTAACTTGTCTGCCCGAATGTCATTTATTGATTGCTTTTAGAATATTGCCATGGGTTTTTTCAGAATAAAATGTTGGTAGACACAATTGGGAACATTTCTACTGATGCCTGATCCATGCTGACTGACTCATGTCGATAATTCCTGTTGTGTCCCCCCAACAAAAGTCAAACCGTAAAGGGCAGGGGCAGGGTCATGTATGACGTTTTTTGATAGGTCACACGAACCCAGGGCTATACTATGAGCTTCAAATAGCCATTGCCCCACATATAATATGAGATGATAGAGCCATGCGTTGTCTATTTGTGTGTAATGAATAAAGTTCTATACTGTGCTGGATTAGTCTATAGCTGTTCAAAATATAGTATAATCCACACCACCG